CACAATTTGAGTTGAATTACTGAAATAAATGAACTTTTCCACGACATTCTAATTTATTGAGATGCACCTGTAGATATTCAGACAGACAGATAGATAGACATACAGATAGATATACAGACAGATAGCTAGATAGATATTCAGACAGACAGATAGATAGATAGATAGATATTCAGACAGACAGACAGACAGATATAGATATTCAGACAGATAGATAGATATACGGACAGACAGACAGATAGATAGATGTTCAGACAGACAGACAGATAGACAGACAGATAGATAGATAGATAGATAGATAGATAGATAGATAGATAGATAGATAGATGCTCTCACGTTCTCGTAGTTTGTTCTTGTAGTTCGGGTCACTCCGTCTCTTTTTGTCGAAATAAATGCAGTAACCGACGAACAGCGCCGCGCCCAAACCAGCCGCGATCCTGCTGCTGCTGCCGCCCATCATGACGAGAGAGATCAGAACAACACGACACGATATCAGAGCCGAGAAATAATAATAATAATAACAGCGATCACACTGACCGCATGACCCTCACGGAGAGCCACACGAGGAAAGACCCGGTGACGTCAGAACCAGTGACAGCTGTAGTGATGGGAAGTTCGGTTCTTTTCCGCGAACCGGTTCTTTCGGACAGTTCGATTCAATAAACCGGTTGAAAGTGTACTGGTGATCCGAAAACCGATGCAACCGGTTCTTGACTCGAGAACGAGAACCGCTCCAGCAGTGGGCGTGTACGTTCGTTATCCGGCTGCTCTGCTCGTGTTCATCTTCAGTTCTCTCTTCACAGCAGTTCAGTCAGTGTACTGTTTGAGTAAATTAATTACTCCGGGATATTGGTTTATTTCGACTCAGAGGGAGTGTCAGCCATGTTAAAAAAGTGAATAACTTAAGTAATTTGTGGATTAATGCTTACTGGAGACGCGAACCGTTTCAAATGATTCAGTCAGATTTGGTGAACTGGTTCAACCAGTTCACTAAGAAGAACCGGTTGAATCGAACGATTCGTTCGCGAACCGGACATCACTAGACAGCTGAGCTGCCGCTGCTTCCGCCTGATCAGAAATACACAACAACACCAAAGACTATAAACTCTTCACTCGAGCTACACAGATGATCAAACAAGGCAAGAATATTATATCTTTATGTGGAAAATAAAACGATGTTTTTTAAAGAAAACCCGTCCTTTAGAACAATTCTGTTTTCTGTTTCTGCAGCAGGTGGCAGTAAAGATCCACAGATGAATAATATCAGTTCAATGTTATTTGATGCAAAACAAAGAGGCTGAATTTTTGTGTAATATTTTGATAATCTGTAAGTTGTATTTATACATACGCACATTTATTGAAGTTGCTCCAAGTTCTGTGACAGTTAAACATGATTTGAAAAATGTATTTCAATATTTAAAAGCATCTGAAAAAAGCACTTCCTTAAAATACATAGGCCTATAATATTAAAAAATAATAATAAAAAATGTGTTATTTTGTATTAACAACTCCCAGATATGTCCATATAAATGATTAGCCCTTTCTTTTATACATTTATTTATTTTATATAACACAATATAACTATATAAATTATTTAGCTTTTATTTAAATTAATATATATATATTTTTTTTATTTATTTCCTTTTTTGGAGCTTGGTGGTATACTGTAATACACCTTTATTGAATGGAAACATTATTTGTTTACTAAACATCTCAAATATATTGATCTTAATTACTTTCACTGCATGGTAAAGCGCATTAAATTAATGAAGACAAAATGTAATTTACTTTTTTTTTAAACAACAGCTGTATTTACGTTTATTAATTTAATTAAATTAATAGAGATACAAACCAGTCAAGTTTATTCCTCAAGATTGATATATTTTATGATCTGATATTAGTTGTATAAACCTCTTTTATGATGCATTCTTTATGCTTTTATGCCTTTCATTTTTATTGCGTGGACACTTTTATTGTTTCTATTGCTAATAGAGGCATATGGACTAATGTTATGCTGTTTTAGGGTGATTTTTATTCAAATGTATTTGACATTTGTTTGTACTTTGAAGTATCGTGTGAAAATATGGTACATGAATATGATAATCATTCATAAACTCTGTATATATAATAGCATTACAATCGGTTATCACTGATATACTTACAGTAAAAATGTTGAAAGAAGTCTCTTCTGCTCAGCAAGGCTGCATTTATTTGATCTAAAAATACAGTAAAATGTTAAATAATTTTAAAATTTAAAACAGCTGTTGTCTATATGAATATCTGTTAAACTGTAATTTATTTCTGAGATCAAAGCTGTATTTTCAGCATCATTACTCCAGTCTTCAGTGTCACAGTCTTCAGAAATCAGTATAATATGCTGCTCGAGAACATTTCTGATTATTATCAATGTTGAAAACTGTTGTGCTGCTATCTACATAGATGTTATAGCTCTATACTCGTGTTATATGACACTAGAGACTCCGTTGTGTTTTGTTTTCTCAGGAATGCTGAAGATGTGTCTTGCAGCTGAAGCCTGATCACTCTCTCATTGGCTGATTGCTGTAGGCTCCGCCCACTCCTCATCCTCCACCAATCAGAATGCCCGCTCACAGCTGCTGCTGCTTTAAAAGCTCTGGCAGGTTCCTCAGAATGAGTTTGAGGTGATCACTGATCAGATCACAGTGTTGTTTACTATTTTTCTTCCTTGTCGAAGGGTCATTTATCAGTTTCTCCTTTGGTCTCCCACATCTTCTGTGGGTTTTGTGTTTCTGGAGTCTGTGTGTGTTGACTGCAGGAGAACCGGAGATCCATTATGACTTGTTATGAGTCTGAGTCAAGGAGTTTATAGTGGTTCCTGAATCAGTGAGGGGTTTCTAAAAGGCTGATGTAATTATCTTCAGCTTTCTCATCTTCTGACATGCTCTCTAGAGATTGTGTCCATAGCTAAAGTCGTATTTAAAGGGATAGTTCACCCAGAAATGCTCTTTCTGTCATCATTTACTCGGCCTCATGTTGTTCCAAGCCTGTATGGTTATACTCTCAATCTCAACAAAAACCAAAACCATAAAAAAAAATTGTTGCTTGAAATAAAATAAAATAAATGTTAATTAAAATATAAAAGAATTATTTCGTTGCTAATTTAGATACATTTAAGTGTAATTTTACTGAAATAAATATAATTAAAAGCTATATAAACGTGTTTTAAAAAAGCAATAACTAATAAAAATGACAAAAACAGACAATAAAATTACTAAAACTAGTATCTAAATGATACTAAAAATAACAAGTTTGAGTCAAGCTCAAAAAAGCATATAACTCATGCACTATGTTTCAACCATGTGATAGTTTCTACTGTGGATTTGAAATTAAATTCTTAATTTTTGCATGCTTTTTGAGATGTTTAGCATGCAATAAATGCTTCCATACAATAAAAGTGAATGATGTACATCGTCAAACTCCAAAAAGCATAAAATGCATCATTTAAAAATGTCTATACAAAGTAAAAATACAATTTATTATACAAAATAAAAATGCAATGCAATTTTATAAAATAATAATAATTATTTTAATTTTTAATAAAATATTTTGTAATATTTTGAATTGTTTTTAGCTTTATTTTTTTTGTTTTCATTTAAATGTTTAGTTTTGAAATGTTGTAGTATGCATTTGTCATTTTTATTTAATTTATTTTATTTTCTTAAATGCGTATATATATAGTATTTACAGAGTTTTAGCTTTTAGTTCTAATTACTTTTTCTTATTTGTAAGTCGCTTTGGATAACAGTGTCCGCTAAATGACTAAAAGTTAAAGTCATAAAGTAAACATATATATCAATCTCATGTTTTAAATCATATAATGTGTCTAAAATACCCCAAAATATTTCATTCACATTCACATTTGCATGCATTCAAACACATTGTGTGCTCAAAACATTGGATACCTTCCATTCTAGTGAAATTTCCTTCACATTTGCATGCATTAAAAAATGCTGCAATGTCAATAGCAAGACCTGTGAGAAGCACTTTTGATGTCACTGATGTCAGTCCTGGTACAAAATCACAACACGCAACATTTGAGTGAGTGTAGAAAAGTGTAAAGTGAATGGTGAGCTAAACTGAATCAAATGGCTTCAGCGGCCTTGAAATATAGTGCATAGAGGCATATGGA